GGTATCAATTTCTCGGGGTGATTCAATGACAATTGTGTTCATAAACCTCACGCGGCCATGACTAGCCGGTATGAACGACTTCCCGTCGTTGCTCACTGGATACTATTTCTCTAGGTCAATGGGTTCCACATCAAACGTGCACCCCTTTTTCAGGTAATTCTTTAGGATAACACCTCCCAGGAACAGGCGCTGTCAACCATCACGCTCGGGGATAGACTACTGCATGATTCCTCAGAACCCGAAGGACCCGGTAAACTCACAAAACCAAATGCACCTAAAAATTCATTCTAATATGGCCCTGGAGTCGGACGCAAATTGGCCCCGGCCCCCGATCCTCTCGGTAGGTGCTGGGGCGACCTTACGTATAATAAAAGGCTCACCTATCAGATAGTTAATAATACTAATATATAAATCTAGACATTAGGGTTATCCGATATCTTGCCTCGGAGTCGGCCGGTTGTGCTATTATACTATACCTAGCTGCCCGGGATCATTGACTCCATCCAGGTCCAGAGGTGAAGGGCGGCGTCAAATAGTGGAAGAGAGATGTCCCTGTTGAGACACTAACGGCCACGGCAAACCCTCTCGAGGAACATCCAGGTATAGCCCGAGCTGTGCTGGTAACCCTAAGAGTGATCAGCTCCCGGATGGCTTACCCCTCGCTTGATTCTGTGATGGGTACAGAGTTGTTATACCTGCAATTCCTCGCAAACCCACTCCAAGCGGTGGAAGGATGATCCCGCTCATATTTATCGGAAGACTATCAAGGTCAAGGCTAATAAATAGATTATCCAGATATTACTTAGGCAGCGGATGGTCTTATTCTCGACTCCCGAATAAGACTAACAATACACACTTTCAGTTGAACGCCGGCTGACTTCTGGAACCCATGGAACTTCCATGTGGTCACTGAAACAAAACTCCCTCCCCTCCGCAGACCCGAGATAACTGCGCTCTAAGCACAGTACAGTACCGGATTCCCAAACGGGCGTACAGCCATGAATTCAGTATCGGAACCTTCTTCATCCCTTACGATGGCCCGACAATTCGCAGTCATAACTTAGCCAGTCACGCAACTCACCACATGCCCCGCGCCCCTGGGCGATCACAACCCGCGATTCCTAAGCTTAGGGGTTGTCAACCTTGGCGGGATGTGGCACTGCCGGGCGTCGATTTTCAACGAGGCACCGTAAGAACTCGAATACTCGAGTAATTGGCACTCGCGCTACGACGTCAAAAATTCCCACTCTCGGATAGAGGGGCGAAAACACTGCGAAAACTAACCCCCTAAGCCCCAGCTTAAGATGAAAATGTGCCAGACTATGCCAGTAAAGGCAAGTCGAACGTCCTAGCACGAGTGCCAATTCGAGTTCTTACGGTATACCGGTAGTTGGAGGTGTTCGTTGCATCTACTCCCGGAGTGAGTTCCGGTACTCGAGGCTCGGCAAATATCGTGACCTACGGTATACTCGCGCACTTCAAAATCCGGGGAAGCCCGGGGAAAAAAATGTACCTCCCAAATACTCTCAAACAGCCTAGCCTATTGGTCTCGCTAGCAAAATAAGGCCTGAAGCGGTCCTGATAGCACAGAAGTTATCCAGGGGTAACTCTTTTTTACTTTTTTTCCCTTTTCCAAAGTCCGCCCAATTATGAGGATTTTTGCAAACCGCAATAAAGGATACCACTGTTCCCCTACACTCAATTCTAACCATCGCAGTGCTTCCTTAGCTCCAATATATACTACGGCAGTACCGGGTATTATCTCCAAGGAATACCGGTATCCCCCCAGATTCCAGCACTTAGATATTCATCGACTAGTATCGCAGATTCGGTACTTGGCCGACATTCCCCTCAAGAAATTTCCGAACCATCTGCACAACATCCCTGGAAAAAAAAGACGCCTATCGGCGCGATACAGATTATTGCTATTGGGGTACGGTAGCACCCGGTATGGAGGCGCTCGGGTGGTGTTATTCACCATGAGCCCGATAGATTGCAGGAGTGGTAATTGATTGCGGTACGTCCCCAAGACCTCAAATCGAAATCACGAGTTACTAGTTGGCTTTATAAACTCTGGCCCTTTGAGCGTGTTTCTCATAGCTCATGAAAAGTCACTCACTCAACCTAGGCCACAGGCTAGCTCAAAATCTCCGAAGCCTATCACCACCTTAACCTTATTCGGTGCGAACAAGCGGGGTATTCCGAAAGGCGAGAATTTAGGAGATCATACCCCATCGTACGAGTAGCACGTTAATGTGGCTAGATACGCTCTTGAGCATGGGGTTCATGTACGGTATTCTCCCAACCCGCTATGTGTGCGCCATTCTATATCTGTCTTGAAGGCCCGAGTCCTTACTGCGGCGATACGAGAATCCATGAGACAGGTGCAAGCCTCTAAGTGTTTTCTCTGGCTGCGGAATACGTCCCGGCACCGCATTGCTTCAGAACCCCGTAAGCTCTAAAACCATGTTGGCAACTATGTTACTTTTTCTCCCTCTCTTTCTCTCAAGCCGCAGACTGTACCCTGTTCCCGGCAGCGAAATACAGCAGAGCGCATCCGAAAGTCTTACACATGTTTTACTTAGCAATTCCCTCTGTAAGGAGCTCTTCTATCACGCTTATATCGCACCGGCGTGGACCCAACATGCGAAAAGTGGCCTTTTTGCTCCGTGCAAGAGTTCATCCGGGGTATACTACAAGCACAATACAGCGCATCCTACCCCCCCCGGCCGGCATTTCCCTGGGGCTGGCCCTGGACTCAATCTGCGACGATAGAGTACTAGTACCATACGGGACCTGCAGTATACCGTATCCTCCCCCACAAGCATTGTTCGGTACTCGCACACCAACAGATCACCCGGAGCACCCATCCGCCCTTCCATAAGACCCGAAATGATATGTTCCAGGGAAATTTTTCAGGCGTTCGGGCCGAGGCTTTTTTTTTTTTCCAAACTTGGTCTAACCCTCTTCCTGCCTTCTCCTTCACCCCGGATATACCTGTACAAGTAATATTGTAAATTCCTAACGGTCGCGAAAGGCGAACACCTCCTTCAGCCTTTTTTTCCAGAGCTCGATTGCGCAATAGCCTTCACCGGGGGCGTACTAAAAGTTTTTGCTCAGGAAAATCGGAGATATGATACAGTGAATTCTCGAGTTTAGTGGCTTGCCAAGTGTTAATCAAACGGAAAGCTCTAGAAAGAGAGAGAAGAAAAAAAGAGAGATTCTCAACCCTTTATCCAGGGGGTATTTTTTTTCTTTTTTCTTTCCCGCAACCTCCAGGAAGTCCACAATACCGGTACAGCACGCAGAAGAAGAAACGTCGTCAGCCTCCTAGAGAAGAAGCTTCACCCTAGCAGTTAAAAAGTACCGACACCCAGCCGACGCAACACAATACAATCCAAAACAACACCGATGATCCTAACCCCCTCAAAACCCTGGACACGCATACCGGGGGGTTTGGGATAAAAGAATCAAAAGACCCAACCGAGGCAGGAAGCAAAACGGGAACGAAGAAAAAGAAGGAAAAGGAAGAGGAAAAGGAAAAAGAAAACCTAAACTTAAAAACAACCATCAACGGACCTACAGTAGTACGCATAAAGAGTCACTCGAACAAGGATCCTCCCTGATCCAAGCTCGCTCACCAGAAGGGCTCCCATGTGCTTAAGCATGTTTTAGTTCTAAGCTAACCAAACACTTAGGCCGAGCCACCGTAGCTACTCGTACAAGTATCACCACAGCGATCGTGGCTACATATCCTACTCGTACAGTTATTTTCTGTTCGGCATGATACGGTAACCCGAATTTTCCATGCAACCATGCATGCATGCATGCATCTAATTCAGCCATATAATATCGATATCAAGTAGATCCAACACCGTTAGGATTTCCGTTCAAGAAACAATCTTATCTGCGGTCCCGTGATATTCCCTCTCTGATACTCGTACTATCCTCCCCCTCCCATAAAAGTCCCCATCGTCATCATCTACTTCTAACGTTCACAAACCCAACCCCTCCTTTCCAGCCACCCATCCAGAGAGAAGGAAAGAAAGAAATCCCCGGCAAAGGAATATCCTACCGGTACAGCACTTTACTCGCCAAGAGAGGAGGAAAAAAAGGAAAAAATAGTCACCACACCACTATGAATGATAACTTGTACGGAGATATTTCTTTCTTTCTTTTTTTTTCCTTCTACCTCCTCTTCTCCTCTTTCACTAGGAGTAGTTGTAGTCTAGTCCACCATCCATTGTCTTCTTCCTCCTTCCGGGAAGGTCCTCTCTCCCCTCCCCTCCAATAAAGATGGAAATGAGGAATGAGAACAAAAAAAAATAAAAAATAGCGATAAGCGGGGCAAAAGAAACATCTTGCTTACTGTACAGTACGCTACCCTTGTTTACTCACTCATCCATCCATACATGGGTAGAGTATTTGTACTGTACAGTACCGTACGGTACAGAAATCACCTACTCAAATCCATCAGAGGATACTTCTGCCGGTACCGGATCCTATCACATGGCATGTACGTCGTACTGCGCCTCTGAAAACCTCCCCAATAAGTAAGTAAGTAGGTAAGTAAACCTACCGCAGGGAACATCATAAGGCCTAAGGCTACAGTAGGGATCACAAATATTATTAGTATGGACGAGTTGGCAAGAGTGCAGTACGGAGTTAATGTACACGGGACCATATCATACGGTAATGGATGAATACGGTAGGGAGGATGGGGGGGGGGGGAGGTATGTCTCTTCTTCCATCTACGGTATGATAAAGACGTATGATATATTTTGGCCTGTTTGTTTTGTTTTGTTTTTTCTTCTTCTTACCATTTTTTCCCCCGTCTGGATATCTGGGCTTGGATCTTCCGGCTTGTGTGATGCCGGTCGTGCTATGCCGTACGGTATACGGTAGTACTGTAAGGGATTGGTTGAACCCCGGTTGAGATTTGAATACCGGAGTGGCTAGTAGTTGCGTGGATGACTCGCTATTATACGGCGCGGAATACGTTATCATACCGGTAGTTCAATTTTGACTATCAAAATACGGTGTTCAATAAACCGAGTGCAAACAAAAAAACATCAAAAGCCCTCCCTTTTTCGCAGAATAAGTCAGGGGTAAGGAAAAAAAAGGGAAAGATACGATAGGATAACCAGATAACCACCACTCGAGTAGCAAGCATCAAACAAGAATCAAGCAAGCAGTGTGACAGGGGGATAACAGAGGGAGAGAGAAACTGAAATTTAAATATTTCTAAAAGTACAGGATACGTACGGTTAGGCGTATCGACGTCAACGTTGGTGTTTGGCCAAAGAGGGTAGTGACAGATGGAGGGAGGTCAGGAGGAGGGGGGGGGGTCTAGATACCGATATATATACATGACCCTCGGAGGAAGAAAAATCGAATCGAACCAAATTCAAAAAAAAAACAGAAATAGTGTTCAATAGCGCGAAAGGGAGAAAAGACAGCAGCCACCATATTTTTTTTTGCTCAGAAAAAAACAAATTCCCACCAACCCCACCGGCGCATAAAAGGTATTCGAAAATTGGAGAGAAAAAGAAGAAAAGTACTTACCGCACCATTTGGTTAGAAGCAAGAAACGGGACCCACGCGCAAACCGCGAAGGAAGAGAAAATGGATGGATAGACGGACTTGCCAAATGGGAGACCGGAATCTGGGAATGAGAAATCCAAAAGACAAATAAAAGCAGAGCGCAAGCAAACCCGGACATGATTGGGAATACACGAGACAAGAAATACGGATATAGTAGGAAAAGCACCCCGCCAAAAAAGGAAAACCAGAGAGAACAGGGGAAAAAAAACGTAGTCGAACCGGAATCATAAGGAAATAGCAAAAGGAAATGAAAACAAATCCCGCAAAACCGAAACGTGGCCAGGTGGATCGTCGCTTTGCTGTTTCAATGCCCCCCCCTCTCTCCCCAGCCTATACGCGTGCGTCCCATGTCCCTTGTCTCCTCGCTGATAGATAAACCATCCACCAAAATTAAAAAGAGAAAAGACATGCACAATAACCAACCCACTCCATATTGGACATTTCGAAAATCATTGCACCCACCCCGCTTGACGCCAACCCCCTGTTCCCCCATCCCCAAAACTAAAGAGGCCCCAAAAATTGCCCCTTCATCCAAAAAAGCATGACTGAATTATATGATATTGGCAATGGAAATCCGGGACGATGCCGTTGGCGCTGGAGCCGATCGACCAGACCCCCCCACTCCTCCATTCCAAGGCACTGGCGCAAGCTGGTGTTGTTGTTGTTGATGCGGGGGTGGCGGTTGCTGTTGCTGCTGCTGGAGTTGTTGCTGAGCATGTTGCCCTCTTGCAACCTTATCATGGGCCAGATCCTGAAGCATCCTCTCCAATCGGGACCATCCACCCCAATCAGCCGCTTCCTCTCTTGAAAGGCTTGCAGGAGGCTCTCCGTGGCCATTAGTATGAGGATAGTCTTTGCCATTGGTCACAGGGGCCTCATGATCCGGAGTGCCATGGTTCAAAGCCTGCCCTGTCTCACTTCCATTCCATACCCACGAGGATTCCGTGCTTCCTTGAACATCCCCAGAAACCAATGCCATCATCCCTTCATCATGTTCCAAATTAACTCCTGCATCGAGCTTATCCATCAATAACCGGAGGAAACCGTAAAGATTCCTGCCACAGGCAACATTTACATCCCTTATTTCGCCGATCGCGTTGCTAACTTGTACGCATACAAGGGCCTCGTTATAAAATCCACGGAAACATAAGAACAGCGAGCAACGCCAGATATGAGTGCAAATCATTGTAGATGCGCAGGTTGCTATCATGTTCTGCCATCCTGCACCATAGTCGCACTGCATGACACGAGATAGGAAATGAACTGTGTCCTTGGCAGCCGAGACGCAAGAGTCCAAGGCTGCTACGCGAGCCTCAAAGGGACATAGCGTGGACAAATTATGGCGATGAAGCACCAACCGGCAGTTTTGAAGGTGGAATATAGGTGATAGGTGTCGGGGCTCAAGAGGGTTGGGGTGGTTAATATGGCAATTAGCAGGGAATGCCGACAAGCATGATGTGAAGTGAGTATCAAAGCAGGCCAGATTTTGTGGAGATATGACAGGTGCCTGAAGGTTTTTCAACAATGGTCCGATAAGACGAACCACGTGAATAGTTGTCAGAAGGAAATTTGCAGGTTGTTGTGATGAACCATTAGGTACCAACAGGCCCTCATCGTAGATGAAATGATCATCAAGGGCACAAGGTAAAGAAATATCGCAATCCTGGTCTTCGATCAGCAGGACTCGTCCGAGCTCAACAGATAAAAGCCTGTCAAAGAGATATCAGCACCCAGAAACTTCAACTAGAACCTCCCACGTATCCCGGTAATGATGGCAACTTACCGATCCCACACATATATTCCCCACCAAACCCGGCGACGCATCTCTCCTTCAACAACCGGCCATGGCCCACTCTCCCGATGCAGCCCTATGTCTTGCGCAATTCTAACGGTCGAGCCCAACCAAGTCCAAGCAGCGGATTTGCAATTTAGCTCGGTGAGGAAAATACTTGTGAGTAAGGCCGATCGAGCATGGTCTATCGTAAATTCGTCGTTAAATAAATCCGTCAATTGCCGAGAATATCCAATAAATGATCTTCCGTTGTCGGGATAATTGGCTTTTATCTGCGGGTCCACGGTATAGAGCAGACCGCAAGCAAACACGGCAAACAGCACCGATCCCCAATAGGGCGGGACCCCCGACAAATCGCCTTGCTTCCGGACCTCATCGTAACGTTGCACAAACTGCGGCCAATGAAGAATTGGGATGACTGAATGTATCGTCTGATAATATTGAGCCAAAATAGCATCCGCGACTGATTGTGGAGGAAGCTCTGGAAGTGGTGGAGAAAAATTGGATTGGAACCCAACCTGTCTATAGGGTGGTGGAGGCTTGAAAACACCTCGACTGTAATTACGGAGGTGTGCCCGAACATCAGTTAAATCCTGGGTAACCGGTGGCCGAGGTCGCCTTTGTGGATTCGAGTTTAGGTCAGGAACCGCGATAGGTATATCTGGAGCGTTGCCATCTACGCCTCCACTCTCTAACATGTTCTCCTTTGCTTGCTGCCCATTCAGAAGCTTTCGAATCTGTTCCTTTGCTGCGAGTAGCTGCTTCTCGAGATCCTGCACCTGTCTTCACCAACGGCCGTTAGCACCCTATGCTCCGAACACCAGCACGGGGAAACTAGAATTACTTTATCGATGACATGCGACGGTTCGTCTCTTTGGTGAATTGACATTTGACGTTCCTTGAAGCACATTCAGAGCAACTCGCAACGTCTGTGGCATCGCACTGTTTGCCCAAAAGAGTAAAAAGTAAGCTTATCTATCTATCTAATATAAGGCTCGGTTCGGGGGATCGTGAAGGTAAATCCAAGAGATCTCGAGTAGGAAGCAAGAAGAAGAAAAATTTAGACCTTGACTTTGCGCTCTCTACAAGCATCGCAAGAAGGATCCTTCCGCCGCTGTCGATAAGCCCTTTTCTGTGTTCCGGTCATTACCTGACCCGGATGCATTGGCGTTCCAGCAGATGGTGAAGGCATTTGCCCGTCACGAGAAGGGCCGGGGGAAACAGAGTTCGAATTGTATGGCTGAAAGGAAGCGTGATTTGGATTATTGATACCCATATGTTGACTCTGGCCGCTCGCGGTGCCCGAAAGCGAAGCCGACGAGGGATTGTTCATACCCGGGTCATAGGAATGCATTCCATTAGGCGGAGGAAGTGTTCCTTGAAAAGGCGGATGTCGAATCGAATTTGTTCTGTCTTCCATGATACTGTCTTTTCGGTTTCTGCAGTCCAGAAGGCTAGGGCAATGCTTGTAGCCGTTAGACGATGCCGTCGTTCAGGGACGTTGTCACGGGAGACGAAGATGCAGTCGAGCAGAGAGACAGAGGGGAATCGCTGAAATTGGATATCGTTTTTTTAACAGCAGGGGCGAAATTGCATGCATTCAGCTGACTCCAGCAGACCTTGTCAAGAAGCCGGCTTTCAAGTGTCTCAGTCCTCGTCACTCTCGGGCAGCGTAATGGCAGCTGTAAAGCACAGAGGCGGGCGTCACGACAGCTCTGGATTACCAGTTCAGGGGGGGGGCCTGTGAAATGCGCAATTCGGTGAGGCAGTTCACACAATGAAAGACGGAAGAAGTTGGGCAGAAGGAGATTTTAGTAAAAGTGTGAAGGGGGAGGGGGGATCCCTTATTTTTTTTTTTTTTTTTCCCTTTTCCCTCTCCTCTCCTTGGGAGAGGGCCTTCTCTTAGAGGGGGGGGCCGCACGAGATGACTTCTCTTTTTCTTTTGCCCGTGGTCTCCTACTCTCGTTTTTTTTTATTGTTCCTTTCTATCCTTTTTCCTTTCCGGGCTTTTTATTTATTTCCTTTTTCCCGGCTTTTTTTTTTTCCCTTTTCCCTTTTTTCCTTACCCCTCGCACAGTTCCTCCGCGACGGGTGTGCTTGGCCGGTGGTCTTGAAACGAGTAGGCCGAGAGGCGTTGGAAGATGTGGAGGAACGAAGGAGGAACAGGAGCAAGAGAAAGAACGATCAAGCAAACCAGAGAGGCCGGAACCAACCACTTACGGCGGCGGCGGCGGCGGCGATGACAACGACACACCCGAAGGCAGTGGTAGGCAGAGAAGGGCAGAGGCAGGACAAAAAAGAAAGGCAAGCAGCTGGTAGGCAACTGGCCTGCTCATAGGTTGGTAATGGAGAGCTGGGTTTTGGAGAATGAAGCAAGAAAAGGGCCCGGATTCACAAGATGTCCCCCGGGAACCCGTTATCCCACCCGGATTGTGGAATAGAGCAGCAGTGCAGTCAGTGAAGAAGATTATAGAAGAAAAGAAGGTTCCTCTTATGAGCAGGGAACACTGTAGAACACAGAGTGCAGTTTGATTGATGCAATAGCACAGCAGACCAGCGGCTTTCCTCCTCACTTCTCGTCTTCTTATTACAACCCTTCCCTCTCCCTCTCCCTCTCTCCCTCTCCCTCTCTCCCTCTCTCTTTCTCGTTCACTCACGCTCACTCACTTTCCTCGATCCCCCACGGTACTTGCCCACTCAAGTCACTCGCCAACCCAACCGCAAATAGCAAACTCCCGACCCTTGTGGCTAGAATCTCACACGGCACCCTACCTACCTACCGTGACCAAAGTGCCCACGGCACTCCAGACGCCTTCCTACCCTTCCTCCCACAAACCCGCTCGGATCGCCCAGACCAGACAGAACCTTACTCCTGGCTCTTGCTTCCTGGCTTCCGGTTCTCTCTCGACCCATTCCCACCAACCCTTCCACCCCTCCAAGTACCTATCCACCATACCCTTATGAGGCAAAGGGAGAAGGAAGAGGGAAAAAAAGAGGAAGAAAAAGAAAAAAAATAAGCTGTCCCAGTACGAGTACCGTAAGCAGCCAGCATTCACCTAGACATCACCTCGACCCGGCCCTCTCTCTACTCAAGATAGAAAAATGAAAAAATAAAAAGAACAAAACGAGCTAAACTATGATAGATGATGCGCTCCCGGCATTAACTGCGAGACCACTCGTACAGTAGTACAAAATATGGTAATGGGAGTGTGTGAAGGAATGGGATGACAATCAATGGATCCTTATTGCGCCTGCTAAGCTGGGACGAATGCGGGCGATGGGGGGGGAGCCGCCGTGCTGTAAGACACAACGGGGCGGGCCCAAAGAAAGAAAGAAAGACAAGTACTAGTACGATGTGCTCCCCAGTCCCAGCAACCGACTACCGAGAGCAAAGAACATACCGTAGCCCTAAAAAAAACACGCCAGCGGGTTCCCTGCTAATGTCCGCTATGCACATACTCGAGTACGGTAATATAGTAGAATGTAGTGTTATTAATGGGTTCCTAAGCCTGCCCTCCACGATTACCTGTGATCAGTTCTGGTCGGTACTGTGTGCCCACTTACCGAGGGCGTGAACATGATAATACCCTACTCCACGGTAATTAAAATTGCACCGCATCACCCGCCCGCAACCGTACCGCACAACAACACGATAGTGGTTCAGTGCCGGCGCAATAACTCGCGAGACGGACAAAATCCACAACAACATGTTGATGCCGGCAGCACATGCATGGCAAGGAGAGTGAGAATATTTTTTTTTGAAAAGGAAAACCGATCACGTAAGCAAGGAGCCGAAAGACGACCAACCCAGCCACGGTACTCGTACAGGTATATACTGTACTCGAGTACCGGTACCGGTAGAGTCCCGTACGGATACTCGAGCACAGGTATGCACGATTCGAGTGTGATACGGTAACTTACGGGATTCAGAATACTCGCGCGGCCGAGTTGAAGTTGAACCTGGACAGCTACGGTACTCGAGTCGAGTAGGGTGGTGGTCCCTTTGGTTAGCTATGAATGGACGAAACCCGATTGAGTGAGGTGGCAAACTCCTCCCCTCCCCTTCCCCCCATACTCGAGTACAAAGCCTGAGTTGGGTTGAGTGTCCAACCCTCATTCAACTCGGCCGTACCATCATCTACGGTAGTCCATTAGCGAGTTAACTCGGTGGCTTGGACAAGCCATGACATCCGGAAAAAAAAGAAAGAAAAAAAAGCTACCGTATTCCAGCTGAGGAAGGGGGAGGAAAGCGACACTCACGCCAGGCACGGGCAAGACATTTGGAACCGTTTTTTTTCTTTTTTCTTCCTCGATTGAGTGAGTGTCTGAGAAAAGGAAGGAAAAAAAAAAAACCTTGTATTGTAACGATGGACATCCACAGCGAATGAATGGATGAATGAATGAATAATCTCGAGTAACCTGGGTGCGGGTGTGCTTCCGCATACCAAGCATCTCTCCCCTTCGGCAAAAGAAAAGAAAAGAAAAAAATTGCACCCCGGTTACTCTTACGGTGCGTTCAAAAGGAAAGGAAAAGAAAAAAAAAAGGAAATATAATACGGCAGCAGAAGGGAGGGAAGGAGGGAAGGAGGGGGAGGGCGGAGGAGAATGAGAAGAAGAAGAGGAGGGCTAATCAATCACCGGCAGACTATGGGAGTTGTACCGTACTCGAGTACGAGTAACAATGTACGAGTACAGTAGCGGTGTAACTTCTATATGCTTGATACCGTACCCGCAAAGTAATTCCTCGGATGCCCCTTCATCACGAGCTTTGCCTTCGACACAGTGTGCGATATGAAGGAATGGCAAGGCAAGCAGGCGGGCGAGCAGGGAGGCAAAAAAACTTTTTGCTGGAGGGAGAGATATATACCGGTACATTGTGGTCGCACAGCGCACACAGTAATAATATCACGGACGCATGCTCTTCCTGTTCGTTCCGGTAACCGGCAGGATACCGTATGGCTGGCTCTTTCCGAGTCGTCTCCCTCTCCTCCCCCCCCCCCCCTTCCTTCCCTTCCCTTCCCTTCCCTTTCCTTACTTGTTTTAAGACTATATACCGGTATATGCTTTACTACTTGTATGTGGTAGTATTTGTCACTGCATCATACTGTACTCGTACTAGTACAGCACCTTCAAGCATTCTAACAAAAGTTTATCCAAACCCTTTTTTTTCTTTTTTCTTTCTCCCCCGCGGGACTACCGCACCGGTACTGTACGGTGCCGGTAGGTTAAGGGGATACCCTATCTGTATTGGATTCGCCGTCTCCTAAATTCTGGGATAAGCCCTGGGGCGCTAGGTGCTCGGATTAGTGTCCAAATACAGGGTGATGGTACTGCACTGTACCGGGTGCCGCAATCCAAGTACGAGTAATTCTTGAAGTCTAAATTATCTGTCGCACTTGATCGCCCTGATTATCCGGGGGAGGGATGTCGGTGTCCGGCACTTCGCCCGAATGAAACTCGATGCTTATGTTCTTGGCCCCGCTTGTCCGCTGGGTTGTCATGGTTGCTCGTGGTTAGTTGGTTTTAGAAGGTGTGTGTCTGTATGGGCTCGTGCGCTCCAGCAATCTGACAATTTGATATCTGGATCCGGTCGGAGGATGTGCTCCTTGGCACCAGTTTTCCGGACTAGCCAAGAAATAACTTTACCAATCTACCGTATCTAGGAACAAGGTTTTCCCTGTGACGGGTGCCCCATCTTACTTAACCGACTTATTGGATCATGCAGTGGATCGTTCAAGGTCTCGAACATGGGGGCAGGGCCAGGGGGCGGGGGTGGATACGGAAATCTTTAGCCTTGGCCGAGCGTGAACATGGGATTCAAAATGTGTACCGGTACTCAATCTGCCAGAAACTTTTTTGGGCAGCATACGGTAGCCGAAAATCGTGCACCATCCGTACTCGAGTACCGTACTCGTACATGTATTTTAACATGTTATGGACTTCCTCGTGGGGGGGCGATATGATACTGGGAGGGATTAACAGCAAGGCAAATAAAATAAGCCGGAATCTGACTTGCTGGCATCTGTTTTTAGGTTCGCAGTTTGCACACAGGCTACCGAGGGCAGGGCGCAACCGCCCCAGAAACGGCATTTTCGGTAAATTCCGCCAGTGGGTGCGCCCCGCATGTCCGTTCTGCCGTGCTCCGAAGGTAAGAGGAGAAGAAAAAAAAAAAGCACCGACTGCCCAGTGATCGTGTGCCATCACTGCAAAATCCGATGATGGTATTCTCTTTTGTGCATGTTGACCCGCGAGGGGACCATACACACAAGCTCCGGCCGACGCCTTGGTTCAATTAATGTATCATATGCCGCCTGGTTCCCTCCCATGCATGGGTAACAAAGGCGAAAAAAGAAATCACGGATTTGGTACTCGAACACTTGATTATTTGCAACCGGAACCCTCATACCGAAAACCATAGCTCCCGCGCCTCCCCCTTCTCTCACCTGGAGTGACCTAGATGGGAGTCGGCACGATATACCGGTAGGGCAGGTCTCGCGGGCCCAGCAGAAAAATCTCCGAGGACAAAAGGTAAGGCCTCAGTGCTTCTGCTGCAAGATCCCATACGGTACGGCTCGTTTGCATCCGCTCCAATGCACTCGAGTACAATACACTCAAGTACGGTACAGCATCTTCCGCAGCCTTGGTCGGTGAAGTTGGAATTGGAACATGGAATGATCCGGGTGTTTGAAGGTGTGGTTGCACTGGCAAGACCCATGTTGGTTGAGGTTGTCAAGGCTCAGATTTTTCTGGGGTT